TAAATTAAGCTATTGTTAAATGCATGAATGTTTTTATTATTTATTACCTTGCTCTAGCTCTAATTGTTCCCATCTATTACACTCTGCTCATCAGAAAATATTTTGTTATTCTCAGATATGTTTTTCATTGAATAGAAGTTCCAGAATTACATCTTTCATACCCAAACTAACATTTTAACACCTCGTGGTTGTGCAGGATTAAGAAAAGAAAATATTAACATAGACTTAATAAAAAGTAGACTGGCTTTATCTCCTTAGGCTGGAAGCACTATGAAAGTTTATCTTTTAGCACTCTTATCTGGCATCACTGCATGAAACGGGAGCATTTTAATTTTCATTTACTATTTTACAGTGGTGTGACAAGTGAATTTGTCAGCAAGCACTGTTGTTATGAAACACAAGGGCCAAACCTGTTGGCTGAGGTTGAGCTCCAACTTCATATGGGAGGTATTATTTTAGACATACGTAGGTAGATCTAAACCCGAGAGTGTTCAATCACATTTTGTATTAAAATTTGTGTAATTTAACCTTCAGAACAGAAGGAAGTTTATGAAAACTCACATTTATATGTACTGGCTAAGTTTATTTTAAAACATTTCACAGTGACCTATTTTATAATGATGTTTTGGTGAATTTAGTTTACCTAGAAGAATGCAATGAAATTCCAGTACATTGCTAACATAAAACTGATTTATTTACAGAAGATGACAAAAATTGAAAACCATCTCCGTTTTTATACAGAATTCACCTCCTCTGATCTCTGAGCACTAACAGCAGTTTCCACGTCCGTCACAGGCGGTGGTTGCGTGGCATTTCAGTCTACATTTTCCATGCAACACGGTGCTGCCAAGCCTCCCTGCAGAGGTGCTGTGATGCCCTGGCAGTTTGGGTGGGAGGGCTGTAAACTAGGCTTCAGCCTGGGCTCAAGACGGATCCCCCAGTTTCACAGTAACGTTGGAGAGGGGGATGAGGTTAAACTTCTCCCACTGGACAAGAATTTTAACTAGAGTATGATCATTTGACCAGGTCTGCCATGTTAGTCCTTCACTAATCTGCTCTCCAGCCTGTTCTCCAGTTCACAGCCCCTGCAACCAAGTGTTGTAATTAATTACTCTGTAGGAGACAGAAAAATGTCTGCATCGATAACTACCTTTCATTCAGTGTCACGTAAACATATTTCTTCATAACAAAAGTTACTACATTAAAAGAAAATAAAATTGTAAGTCATGGGAATATTCACAACCAAGATAGCCACAGGCATTTGCCCACTGCCGTCTTGGTATTCTACCATTTTGGCATCCTAATCTGTTAATTCAAACAAACATTTTCACTTTTGCAGTAGAGTCACACTTAGTGTACGTATCAAAGGATTGACAACAAGGCTGTGACATGCAGCCTGAACCCTGACCTACTCATTTGTTGCTACCTAACACTGAACACAGCACCTTTTCCCTTCCCTCTCTCCTGCATGCCCTATGCTGAAACGCCAGGGTTTGAGCATGAAGTCGGGTAATTAGCCATTCAGAAATGTCATACGTCAGGATGTTTAACAGCAGTACTGTAGATAAAACTTTATATTTTCAAGGTACCACTCAGTTGTTAACACCAATTAAATCTGAGAATCCTCTCCCCGTTTTATAGATAAGGGAAGTGGGGACAGGAATTAAAAATGTGTTGCCTGGGATCCCTACTCACTGGGCAGTGTAAGATGGGTCAGCTACTGACTTCTCACCCTCAGGTTCATGTCCCCTGGCTATTCTGCTCCAGTGGGCACTCACTTCTGAGTGGTCTTTACCTGCCGTGAGGGATCCATTGGACATCATTCCATCTTGCTTTCAGGACAGTTGCCAGCATCTGCAATGTGTTACAAGGCAGCTGTGTTCATTTTGCCACCCTGGTTGCTCCCTCCAGTGCTGACCTGTCCTTTTGCAGAAGGAGGGAGAGAAAAACAGGGATGTGAACATGGGAGCTAATGAATTGCAGAGGAGAATCAGTTTAATTCTGCTAAAAGATCAGATTAATTTTGTTAAGCTGATAAAGTAACAATTGTGGTAGCTCTTTTTCCTAAGTGGTGTGGATACTGGGAGGCTTCAGCCCTCCCTTCTCCTGCCATTACACCCAGGCAGGACTAGCTGGACCTCGGCTGGCATTTAACCTCCTCAAGCAGACTGGAGCCCCGCAGTTGGGCTGCCTGTGCTGGAGCTGGCCCTCCTGTTGGGCACCAGCCAAAGTGACAAAGCCCTTCAGCCCTGGGTGGACCCTGGGGGCATCTCCCAGGCTTCCCTGCCTCACTTGAAGTTGCCTCCCTGCTTGGCTGGGGTCGTAAATGACAAATAGGCAATACCCATGTGCCCCCATCCTAGACAAACTGGTACTATTTCCCTTTCCTCTGCTTCTGCTGCCATCTATAAACATTTATTTTCTCAGAACCACAATCTGATGTGCAAATGCTATACTGAACCACGGACAGACATTCATGCAACTTTCTAAGAACGAGGCACTCTGCACTGTGAGGGGCAGAGTCTGTCAGGTCCCAAAAGAGCAGAGCAGCCCCTGATCTGGACAGTCCTGGGGTGAGCCCCGTCTGGAGCTGTGCAGGGAGGAGGAGAGGGATCCATTTTGGGTGACACATGGGGGATGCCTGTTGAGCGTGCAGGAGGCCGCACCAGGGCTTGCAGGAGAATATGGAGGGGCCTTGGCAGGGTGCCAGGCCGAGCTGGGCTATGTGAAACACAAACAGAAAACAGCAATTCGCAGTGCCTCGTAACTCAATCAAGCCTATAAAGGGCTTCACGGGGCCAGGAAAAGGTTATCCATTTGGGCAGCACCACTGCCAAGTATTTCCTTTCCAAAACCACAGAGCGGTAAGAACTCGTGAGGCGTTCAGAGGGATCTTCTGTAATGGGAAGTTAGGTGTAACCCAGGTTTTGCCACTTTATTAATTGTCAGGGCTCATACTGCTTTTATTTCACACACATTCAGATTAGAAGCAGTGCTGTGATCCTCTGCTCTGACCTCTGACACAGCTGATGCTACGCTGTGCCAAATAACGCATGGGTCAATTCTGCTTTAGAAAAGCCTTAACCCTCTAAGTAGCAGAAACTTCTGCCCCAGTGATTACTGAAATGTACCTGTTTGCCTCTGGCTTTGTTGGTACTGTGTATGCGGCAGCAGAGAAAAATACTGGGTTGGTATTTCCTTTAAAAAGGGAAGTTCCAGTAAGTGGCTGCCTGCATGTTATTTCTCCGATTTACTTCTCTGGACAGAAGACCATCGTTGTTGTTGTGGAGCTACTGGAGAGCCGAAATGAGACCTCTGCACCCCATGACAATGCCCAGAGTAGGAGCTGCGAGTGGCACCGCTGCTGAATGCGAAATAAAGCGCAGCAAGGTGTCAGTAATGCGCTGTTGCTAGTGCTGTGCCTTCGGTCGGAGCCGAGCCGATACCAGCAGGCTGCCAACATGGCGTGTGCCGAGGTCGTCTGCAGCTCGGGTCACCTTATCGTGCTTGTTTCACGTCAGAAATGTTAAATCTGGGTGCTTGTCTAGAATAGGGTAGAGCAGCGGTGTAACGGGCTGGATTAGCAACCAAAGACCAAATTATGTCAGAAAAGCAAGGCGTTGAAAGATGGCAGTTCGCAGGGATCGGGAGAGTGCTCTGTCTCCGCTAGGTCAGTTTTCAACCGATGTGAACTATTTTGCTATTAAAGAAGAGGTCTAAGCTAATGAATTGTTGTGTGGGGGAATTAATGCTGGATGAGTCCCCTGTGGCCTTCGTGGTGAGGGTCAGATAAAATATTAATGAAATAAGCAGTCCCCCGTTCTTCCCAAGTACCTTCTGTATGAGTGTGTCTTGGTGTTGGCCAGGGAAGATGAGGAACCCCGTAGGAGGCAGGTCAGGGTAATTACTTTACAGCAGCATAAGGGGCTTTCCCATCCATGCCATACCTTTCCTTTGATCCCTGGGTTCGGCTCCCTTTTGAGAAATGCATCCAGACTCCAGCTCTGGCTGGCTAGAAGCCGATCTTTTCAGATCTGGCATGGCCTCTAGGAGTCCCAGCCTTCAGGTGGTCTTGCACTTACTCCAAATGCTTCCAGGGCAGAGCACATAACACAAAAGACGTAAGTGGATATGTTCTCCTGATGCCTCATCTGTGGGACACATTTCATCATCTTGCAGATTGTCCATCCCAGATGCTGGGTAGGGGAGCTCACACGACAGGCTGAGGGAGGACAGTGTCTTTGGTTCCACCTCTGCCGTGTGGGGCATTGCAAAGGGTCCTGAGCTGGAGCCGTGCAAACTGGTTTCAGTAGCAGCAGTACTGAAACACCCCGGCCCAATTCCTGGGCTAACACCATCATGGTGCTTCCATACTCTGAACTAGGAGCTGTGTGGCATCATGAGGTGTTAAATATCTAAATACCTGCACTTTCAGGACACAGCACAAATTTGCAGGCTTATTCAGAGGGAGCTTGGAAATCTCACTCCTGTTGCAAAGTGCAAGGATGTGCTGTGCATTTCTGGTACGCAGAGAAACAGCCCAGTGTACGGGGAGGAAGGAGGCCTAAGGAGATGCTCCAACCTAAACAGTGTTGATTATTTTCACATCATGCAAAGTCAAAGCTAAATGTGTAATTCTTGCACCTATTTGTGTACTTTGGACACTGAACAGCATAAGATGCTGGTACATGTGTGCATGTGTGTATGCTCTAGGGGGTTGGGGCTGTACGATGATCTTTGCAACAAAGACTTTGGGGGACTCATTACACAGAGTTAGCTAATGACAGCACATGGTGAGTTAGGGATAGTGTAACTTACTGCACTGATGACGGGTGCAAAAAGGGGCTTCTGAAGTTAGAAAAATAGCCATTAGGGTCTTTTTAAAGCATTCTCCTATTTTATTTTTTATCATCTCTCTCTTAAGATCAAATAAACAAGGAAATGGAAATGCTAAAATGTTTTCAGGGAAAAATCAACATACTGATAACCATTCCTCCCTGCTTCCTCCAAAACGTTCTTGCATCATGACTGCCTTGCATTTTGTGTCTCAGTCCTAGAAATTGGAAATCAGAGATGACAGCAGCCAAATCTTTTCCCCTACTGATGGGAAGGTTTATTGCATTCTTGGTAAAGATCCTTGCATCTGTGAATAATAACAAAAGAAACAGTAATAATTTTGTCATACTTCTACTATAACAAACCACAAAAGGATGTCCCACAGCATACTCACTCTTTCTCCCCTCCCATCTCCTTGTCTGCCTTTCAGTGCACACCAGGATCTTGTTGCCCTACTGGTGTAAGCCCTCCGTTCCAGAAGACTTGCTCATTCCCATCTCAGTCTCCCCAGGAAGAGCAGAAGGGAGCTGCGGAGCGATAAAAATTTATGTTTTCATCAAACCGGGCCAAGGAGAATGGGGGTCCCGCACCCAAAAGAATGAAGACCCGACAGAACAAGGACTCGGTTCGTGGGATGGGAGAGGGAGCTGGGACCCCAGCAGGAGCAGTGGGGTGGGACTGAGGCTCACAGCAAAGACAGTGACCATGAGTTTGGTGTGGTGGAGTCCCAGGGCCAAAGGTCTGGGGCTTTGGGAGGCTAGGAGACGGGGCAGGAGTGGAGTGAGGTGCAAAGCAGGACTGATCTGATCATCCCTCCCTAGATGTCAATGCGGAGTGGACGGAAGAAAGAGACTCCAGGGCCCCGAGAGGAGCTCAGGACACGGGGTCGAGCTTCCCCTGGTGGCGTCAGCACCTCCAGCAGCGATGGCAAAGCTGAGAAGTCCCGACAAGCGACAAAGGTAGTACAAGCTGGGAGGCGAGCCTGGGGGGGATCCAGCCATACGGACCATATGGGATCTACTATGCAACCCATGCTGGGTTAGCTACCTGCAATGGGTGGAGCCCTTTTGTCCTCAGCACCCCGCACTTCCCGATATTTCCTATGGAGCAGTTTTCAGTCTCACCTGCCCTTTTTAGTACTGATTTCTGCCTTTCTCTGGCTCACTGCTGCATCCTACTATGCCCCTCTGTCTGCTAAGCTCTGCAACACAGACGTGGTGGTGGCGGTGTCTCTCCTGCTGTGGGCTGGGAAGTCCTGGCAGGGTGGGAAGTCTTCCTGTGGCCCTCCCACCTCCCTGTTCTCCTGCTCTCCCTTACAGAAAGGCCGGGTGGAGGAATCCTGCACCCCCAAAGGCAGCAAGCAGGGGCGAACAGAAGAGATCTCGGAGAGCGAGGGGGAGGACAGCAATGCTCCCAAAAAGACCAAAACCGAGGTGAGTTCTGACTGCAGTGGTTACTGGCACGTCCTGGGCCCTACCTGTGCTGCTCACACCCACATAGCTTGAGATTCTGGCTGCTGGGAAGCCCTGGCACCTCGGGTTTTGCTCTACAGGCAGAGCCTAAGTGACATGTGGCTGCAGAAAAGCCACCAGAAGTGATAACCAAGCAGATGGAAATTCTCTTTCTTTATTTAGCCTTGTCTGAGGGGAACTGCTGTGTGCCTACTGGCTCTGCATGCAGCTTTCTGTCAGGCTGGACTCTACCTCTGTTGCTCCTGCAGAACAACGCAAACCACAGATGCTCCAGGGGGTGTTGTACCAGCCCCAAAATGTGCAAAATCTGCCCAGCCCTGCGCTATGCGTAGTTAAAGCAGGGCTTTTCTGAAAGGCCAGCGCTGGGCTGAGTCAGTGATCGGGCAGCTGGAGGAAGCCTCGGCTCTTGTAGGGAACTGGAGCAGGGAACTGGAAGCACAGAAGTGCTGGTAAGGAGTGAGGCAGAGAGAGGACATGCTCAGGGGGGAAACGGGAACAGGTCTCCTTGCCGAGGAAGGGAGGTGATGAGGAAAGCCCTGCATGAAGGGGAAGAGACACTGTGGGTCTAGGGGCTGCGTGTGTGCTGCTTTGTGCCACCTGCTGGTAGCACCGGGCTGTGCCTTGGCCAACGGGCCGTTCCCAGTGGTGCTGGGACCTTTTATATGTGTTAATTTTCAGCCTCATCTCTCAGGACCATTACCTGCACCTCCAAATATAAGACACGCCTCACCTCCTCCCCAGGTGTGTGGTCTGGGAGACCGCCTAACTTCTGCTTCCTCTTTCTGCTTCAGGAGCTACCCTGTCCTCCATCCCCATCTGATGTTGACAGCCTCGATGGCCACAGCTTCAACGACGAGATGAGCAGCGACCCGCGGGACATCGACCAGGATAACAGGAGCACCTCGCCCAGTGTCTACAGCCCCGGCAGCGTGGAGAATGACTCCGACTCCTCCTCCGTGCTGTCCCAGGGGCCGTCGCACTCCTACCACCACCCTCCGCTCTTCCCCCAGAGCCCTCCGGTTGCCCCCCCTCCCGACAACCTGGCCCGGCCACCCGAGCCTGGCTTTGGTCTCCCAGGCGAGGTCCACCCCCAGGGCCCCCCTGTGGGCCCCTACCACCCCCAGCTGGAGGGCCAGGCCTCCCGAATTTTCCAGGCTCAAGCCCCACAGACACCCACCTCCTCCTCTTCTGCGGTTGCAGCCTCTTCTGCCCCCTCTTCCTCTTCCTCCTCCTCTTCTTCCTCCTCCTCTTCCTCCTCCTCCACCCACGCTCCTCTCTACCCCACGGCCAACGTGGTTCAGGTTGGGGCCAAAATAGGCAGCGGCGCAGGGGGGCTCTCAGCACCAGGGGGTCGCGAGCAGACCCTTGGCACCAAGCACAACCCGCCGCCCACCACCCCCATCTCGCTGGCCTCGGTGGCTGGGGGGCTGCCCCCTCAGAAGACATCCCCGGTCAACCCCCCAGCTGCCCCCCCGGCCTCGGCGCCTTCCTTCCCCCACGTCTCCGCCAACCTGCCACCCCCGCCCGCCCTGCGCCCCCTCAACAACGTGGGGGCCGCCTCCAGCTCCCCGGGCATGGCGGGGCAGGCTCTGAGCGGGCACCTCCCGTCCCCCCATGGCATGGGGCAGGACAAGGCGCAGCCCCTGGCCCCTTCGCGCTACCCCTACGCCCCTCCACCTCTGCCAACCTCCAGCTCCTCCGCCCAGTACCCTCAGCCCTCCCCAGCCCAGCCCCTGCCCAGTTACACGGCCTCCTACGGGCACTCCTTCCCCCCGCCCAGTGGTCTCTCGGTGTCCAGCCAGCCCCCAAAATACACGCAGCCCTCCCTGCCCTCCCAGCCTGTCTGGAGCCAGGGGCCGCCCCCCTACAGCCGCCCCCTGGGCAATGCCAGCTCCCACCCTGCTGCCTCCTTCCCCAGTCAGTCTCCCCATCACCAGCAGCCGCCCCAGCAGCACCACCACGGCCACGGGAGCGGCGGGGGGGTCTCCCCAGCAGCAGCGGCGGCCCCCCCGCCGTCCTCGGGGGGCTATCCCCATGCCCTGGAGTCCAGCAGCCATCACCCTTCCCATGCCACCTACGGGCTGCGCCTCTACCCTCCCCACAGCCAGGCCACTTATAGCCAGGCTCCCTCTGCCACCGCTCCTTCCTCCTCCTCCTCCTCTTCCTCCTCTTCTTCCTCCTCCTCCTCTTCCTCCTCCTCTTCCTCCACCTCTTCCCAGGGCAGCTACCCTGCCATGTGCACTCACCCCCAGGGGCAGAGCCCTGCCACCTACACCTTTCCCCCGCCGCCGCCCCCCTCCCCAGCCCACGGGGCTGGCCCTCCGGTCACCTCTGCGGCCACCACCCTCTCCACCGTCATCGCCACCATGGCCTCCCCCTCCACGGCCCCCTACAAGACCATCTCACCCCCAGTGCCCCCCTCAGCCGTGGCCCCATACGGGAAGCGGGCGGCTTCCCCCGTCCCCACCTTCCAGCCCCCTGCACCCTACAAGCCAGGCTCACCCCCAGCCTCCTCGGCCGCCCCTTTCCGGGCAGCGACCCCTCCGGGCTACCGTGTGGCTTCCTCCCCCGTGGCCGGTGGCTACAAAGCCCCCTCGCCAGCCCCTCCTGGCCCACCGCTGGCGGGGAGCATGGCTGCCCCAGCCCCCCCGCCGCCCCCGCTGCCGCTCAGTGCTGCCCAGATCAAGCAGGAGCCGTCGGAGGAGTACGAGCCCCCAGAGAGCCCCGTGCCGCCCGCTCGCAGCCCCTCGCCGCCCCCCAAGGTGGTGGACGTGCCGAGTCACGCCAGCCAGTCGGCCAGGTGAGGACAGCGGGGTCCTTGTCCCCATCCCTGTCCCCATCCCCCTGCCGTACCCACACGCTTCCCTTCTGGTTCCCAGGTTCAACAAGCACCTGGACCGCGGCTTCAACTCCTGCTCCCGCACGGACCTGTACTTCGTGCCCCTGGACGGCTCCAAGCTGGCCAAGAAGAGGGCGGACTTGGTGGAGAAAGTGCGGAGAGAGGCCGAGCAGAAGGCGCGGGAGGAGAAGGAGCGGGAGCGGGAGCGGGAGCGAGAGAAGGAACGGGAGCGGGAGAAGGAGCGGGAGCTGGAGAGGAGCGTGGTAGGTGTGGGGGCAAAACCCATGCCCGAGGACGCCCTCGGTGGCTCCCCGCTGGGACCCTGACGTTGTTTCTCTGCTGTCTTGCAGAAGATGGCCCAGGAGGGCCGGCCGGTGGAGTGCTCGTCCCTCGGTCCCGTCCCGCACCGCCCCTCCTTTGAGCAGGGCAGCGCCGTCGCCACCGTGCCGCCCTACCTGGGCCCCGACACCCCGGCGCTCCGCACGCTCAGCGAGTACGCCCGGCCCCACGTCATGTCCCCCAGCAACCGCAACCACCCCTTCTACGTGCCGCTGGGCGCCGTCGACCCGGGCCTGCTGGGCTACAACGTGCCGGCCATCTACAGCAGTGACCCGGCCACGCGGGAGCGAGAGCTGAGGGAGAGGGAAGCCCGCGAGCGAGACCTGCGGGACCGCGACCTGCGCGAGCGCCTCAAGCCTGGCTTTGAGGTCAAGCCGGCCGAGCTGGAGCAGCTCCACGCCGTGCCGGCTGCCGCCATGGATCCCTTCCCACGCCACGGCGGGCTGAGTCTGCAGACGGCCCCCGGCCTTCATCCCGCTTTTCCCTTCCACCCAGGGCTGGGCCACTTGGAGCGGGAGAGGCTGGCGCTGGCAGCCGGCCCCACCCTGCGCCCCGACATGTCCTACGCCGAGCGGCTGGCGGCCGAGCGGCAGCACGCCGAGCGGGTGGCCGCCCTCAGCAACGACCCGCTGGCCCGGCTGCAGATGCTCAACGTGACGCCCCATCACCATCAGCATTCCCACATCCACTCCCACCTCCACCTCCACCAGCAGGATGCCATACACGCAGGTAAGGGCCGCCTCTTCAGCCAGGAAGGGTCAACTTCATGGTCATTTGGTCTCGTCCTCACTCCCATCCCGCCAAAGACACCGACCTCGGAACTGAGGTGTAGTCCCATTTCCTCGTCCTACAGGGCTGCAGGGTGAAAGCAGTTTAGTGATGCAAATCTCTTGGAAACAAAGTCCAGACTATAATAAAAGAGTGCTGTGCCTGCTGAGGTACTGGGAGATGGCAGTGGGGTCTGGTAGCTGAGCCACAGGCACCCATGCTCATCGTCCACCACTACTCAGAGGTGGCAACAGGTACAAATTAATGGCCTGGCAGCGAGTCCAAAACACTGGAAAGAGTTTTTTTAATATAATAGGATTTTAATCCTATTATATTAAAAAAATCCTATTATATTAAAAAAAAAACCTAAGACAAAACGACCATCTCCATGTCTGTTTCATTGTTGTGCCTTCCCTGTGTGGCTTACAAGGCATGGGACAATTGGCTTCTGATGTCTTTCCTTCCCAGCCTCAGCCTCTGTTCACCCTCTTATTGACCCGCTTGCCTCGGGATCGCATCTCACTCGGATACCGTACCCAGCTGGAACCATCCCCAACCCTCTCCTCCCTCACCCCCTACATGAGAACGAAGTGCTGCGCCACCAGCTTTTCGGTAAGAGTGCTCGCGGGGTCTGCTGGTCTCCTTGGAAGAGATCAGCAGAGCTCCAAGGGGCAGGGTGGTCACGAGGGGGTTGCATACCTGATGAAGGTTTATTATAGAGAGACAGAGCTCTGGGATGGTGTAGGGCAGGCGTGCAGTATCAGGGGATGAGCGAGTCCTGCACATTGGCAGGGCTGGAAGATTAAGAGCTTGGACTGAGCTGTGGGACAAGGGACAAGGGCAAGGACGGAGCTGTTCCATTAACTCGTTTGTTCTCTCCTTTGTGGTTGCAGCTGCACCCTACAGGGACCTGCCGGGGTCTCTCTCTGCGCCCATGTCAGCAGCACACCAGCTCCAGGCCATGCACGCGCAGTCAGCCGAGCTGCAGCGCCTGGCCCTGGAGCAGCAGCAGTGGCTGCACGCCCACCACCCTCTGCACGGAGTGCCGCTCCCCACGCAGGAGGATTACTACAGGTGCCTGACCCGCTCACACAACGCTCTTTGCTCACATCCTAATGCCAGCCAGCCTTGGCCTGAGGAGGGCAGAAGAGGGGAACGTGCCCCTGACCCCCCCCCTGGTGGGTGGGTGGCTCCAGCGTGGCCCCACGCTGGGTGCAGGGGTTGCTTGCTATGGGGCACAGCCCCCTAGGGAAGGTCGCTGTTGGACAGAGGTTGTTGTGGGGTTGCAGCTCCCATCCTCAGCAGGGGGGAAACCAGCACATTTCACACGTGATAATACAATTGTGAATTATACCTGTGCCAAAATACCAAACGTTCACTTTGGCATGCTTTTGCCAAGACGAGGCATTCACGAGTGCACAGGGAAGCATGTTGGGAGAGAAATGCAGTATTTTATGTTTTGGATAGCACCTCTTACATTAAAGATTTGCAGGGTTTTCCAAATCTGCACTGTCATGCAGGACTAGGCTAGCAAAAGGCAGTGCACAATACTATGTCTTTTCTCCCCGTGTCTTGTCTCTCATAATCACTTTGTTCGTCTTTATCCTAGTCACCTGAAGAAAGAAAGTGACAAACCCCTTTAAATGGACTCCTACTGTCAACACGACATCCTCATGTCTTTCTCTGAAGAGGAGCAATCAATCAGCCAAATCCCGGGGGAGGGGAAGCTGCGGAGTTACACATCTTGATCCTACCAGGCAGCAGACTGCAAGAGAGGATGGGACGAAAGTGGAGGATGGCATCCTGGGAGCAGAGAGTGGAGAAAAGGAAACAGGGAGGGATCGAAACGCCAGCAAACAACACGAAGTGACTGGCACACGATTTCGGCATGGCTCTGAAGTGACTGAAACCAGCGTCGTGAAGAGCCCCAAAAGACAAGGACTGGTGTGAATTGGAGATTGCAGCAGCTCCATCCTGTGTTTCGAGGGAAGTCACGTTAAGCAAAAAGCTCAGCGCATTGCAGGACCTCACATTCACGATGCAAAACCCAGCAGAGCCTTTTTTCAAGACGCCTCCTCCCCCCCCAAACACACACTTTCTATGTAAGATACTGCTTCCTGAGACAGAGAAACAAAGCGGAACTTTCCCAGCCTGGCTTCCACATCTCCCACATCCCTTCAGATGCAACCACGGCGTTACCGGCCCCCCTCCAAAACCGGCTTCTCTTGCCTGGTGCCAAGGCGCTGGTCCCGGCCAGCTGGGTGCAAAGCACCCCCAGACTTGCCTGCGAGGTGGCGGCACCTCGAGGGGACGCGTGGGGCCACGAGGTGCGAAGCACCGCCGGCCTCCCCGAGCAGCCACCCCCCCCAGTGGACCTTCCAGCCCCACCGGGAGCGCCGATGGGGGGCCGCCAGCTCGCACCCCAGGGCCACGGCGACCCCCTTGCCCCTCGCCCCCTTTCTCCTCGGTGTACTTTAAGTCATGCACATCCTGTTATAGACGTGGCAGTTTTATGTAGCAACTTGTGACCCCCCCCGTCCCCAATCCCCGTTATCCCCCCCCCCCCGCGTGCGTGTCCCACCTCACGGTTGTATAACCCGAGCGGCCCCCTATATATATATATATATATATTTACTTATCCATTAAACGGAAGGAGAAAACCACCCGGCAGCAGCACAGCTGTGCAAACGCACCCACACCAACCCCCCTTACACACTCCTGATACCCCCCCACACCCCCAATAACCACATTCTAATAATTTATATATAAAAATATATATATGAAGCTCTTAAAAAAGCAAACAAATGAGCAAAAAAAAAAAGCAAAAAAGCAAAAAAAAACAAAAAAAACCCTTCGGGAAGCAGCCTGCGTTGTGTTCATTTATCACTGCTGGGGGCCAGCAGCGCCCCCCACCCCCACCCCCTGGCCCCCTCCTCTCCCCACTCTCCCCGCCCACCAGGGACCGCGCCGCCGCCAGGCCCCGCCCACCGCCGCCGGGAGGGGGCGGGTCTGCGCGAAGCCACGCCCCTCGCCCCGCTCCAGCCAATCGCGGCGCTCGCCTCGACACACCCGCCGCCGCTGCGCCAATCGGGAGCGCGCGATTTGCATACGGCCGGCGCGGCGCTGCGGGGCCCCGTTTCGCCGAGCTGCCGCCGCTGAGGCGGGGACCGAGCGGTGCCAGGCACGGGGGGGAGAACGGGGAATCCTCCCGGGGGTACACCCCACGGGAAGCTCTCCCCTCACCGTGACCTGGCGGCGGGTGGGCCCGGTATGGGCGCGGCGCGGGCGGGCGGCTCCGCAGTGATTTCAGCTCTTTTAGTATTTGTCCAGCAGGTTTCCCGCGCGCGGGAAGCCGCCCCTGGCGGTGCAATGACAGGGCGGGGCTGCGCATGCGCAGCGCGAACAGGGGGGGAGGAGGACGTGGTAAGATGGCGGCGTCCGCGCAGGGCCCGGCCGCGCCGCTGAGCGCCGAGCAGGCCAAGGGTGAGGGGGGGGGGGGGACGGGGGGGCAGTGGGCAGGGCGGCGGGGACTGAGGCTGGTGCTGAGTCCCCCCCCCCGTGTGCTCGCAGTGGTGCTGGGCGAGGTGCTGAAGGCCTTCGGGGCGCCCGAGAACGCGCAGCGCATGGAGGAGGCGCGGGACAACGCCTGCAACGACATGGGCAAGATGCTGCAGTTCCTGCTGCCCGTGGCCACGCAGATCCAGCAGGACGTGATCAAAGCCTACGGCTTCAGCAGCGACGGCGAGGGTGCGTGCGGGTGCCGGGGCCGGGCTCCCCCCCGTACCCCCCCGGTGCCCGCTGCACTGCCCAGCCGCTACCTTTGCAGGGGTCCTCAAGTTCGCCCGGCTGATCAAGTCGTACGAGGCGCAGGACCCGGAGATCGCCAGCATGTCCGGCAAGCTCAAGGCCATGTTCCTGCCGCCCATGACCCTGCCGCCGCACGGTGCACCGGCACCGGCGGGGTGGCCGCCTCGTGAAACCTGCAGCTCCGCCGGCCCCCGGGGTCTGCGGTGCTCCGATGAAGTGGGGGTGTCTGCACCTGGCCGGGGGCTGCTGGCCCGCCAGCCCCGCGGCACGGAGAGGTTGGACGAGGGAGGTGTTGATCCGAACGGAATCGGCTTCGTTGTGCGTGGTGGTTTGTCTGTGTGTGAATAAAAAACGCCTTGGAAATGCCCTTAGTGGTGTATGAATGGGCGTGAGCTGATCCGTGGGGCAGGGGCAGGCAGAGCGATGCCCACTGCAAACCTCAGTATGAAGGCACAGGGCTTGGTATCTCAGTGACTGTATTTTTTAAACATCATTTGAGAGATGCTGAGCCTCATCTGGAATCAGAACATCCCGAGTTCAAAGGGACCCACAAGGGTCATTGAGCGCAACTCCTGGCTCCACAGAGGGCCACGCAAAACTCAAACCGTGTGCCTGGGGGTGTTGTCCAAACATTAATTGAAGACCAACAGCACTCACGGTGAGGCTGCACCAGCGCAGAGCAGAGTGCACAATCCCTTTCCTCAGCCAGCAAAGCCACACCTGATGTCCCCCGCGGTGCTGCTGGCCCTTTTGGCTGCCGGGGCACACTTGATTCATGCTCAGCTTGTTGCCAAAACCCCAGATCCCCTTTCTGTGGGGCTGATCTCCGGGCTCTCCTCCCCCACTCTGTGTACAGCCACTGTTGCCTCATCCCAGGTGCAGAATCCAGCACTTGCTGCTGTTAAATTTCATAGGGTTGTTGATAGCCCAGCCCTCCGATTTGCCAAAATCTCCCTGCAAGAGCAAGCGTTTATAAAAGTGCTCCTTGAAATGCCAGGTAATGCGATCCCGAGCACAACGCGGTGCTGCTCAGCCAGCGGTTGCAGCCAGACCGCTGTCACCAACAGGTCAGCACCGCGAACTCTCACGTGCTCCTACCAGAAGCTTCTGTGGCTGTATTGCTCTTTTCCGCCTGATTGTGTGATCAAAGGTGTTAGACCTAAAGACAAAAATAGCAGCAGGATGTTGCAAGGACAGGCAGCAGGGAGGGATTAGAACAGCGCGAATACTGTACATGTGTAACCGTGTGCTGCGCTCTCTGGGACTGGAGAGAGGGAAAGGCAGAGGGCAGGTTCTCTCCCCCTGTGAAGTTTTCTGCCTTTCCACCTCCCAGATGAAGGGGCATCTTCATCTGAGCATTTGTAGCCACCTGGCTTGTGTGCCTGTTTCCCCTGGGTGTGCTGCAGCCTTTGGGAAGGGCTGGCGGTGAAGAAGCCCGGGAGCCAGGTGTGAGCGCGGCGTTGGGTTGTGCACTCTGTGCCTTTTGGTTACAAACCCTGTAGGAATGTAGCCAGCGAGGGCGTCAACCTAGCGGATAGGAGGCAGGAAGAGCAGTCAGGCCCTTCCGTCGCTACCTACCTCCCCCCCCAGTTTGGTTTTGGCCTTCCCCCACCCCTCTAATTATTTATTAACTACAGCCCAGGAAGCGTTTTGCAAATGGTGAAAATTAAGCCCTCCGCCCAAGGCCTGCGTTTCACCTAGCCTGGAGCTACCACCTCCCTCAGCCTGCCCAGAAACAGGCAGGGCTCGGGGCTGAGCCTGTGCGGGCCAGACACAGGTGAGTCACAGGAGGCACCGCACACCCGGGGCACTGCCAGCTGCTCCTGCCCCAGCCCTGGAACGAGCTGCTCTGAGCATCCAGCCATGTTGTGAGGCTGTGAGGTCACCCCCTGCTACTTCCAATCTTGCTTTTTTTTTTTTTCTTTTTTTCAGTAGGTCGCCCTGGCTAAGGGCTGTGGTTCTTCCTCCACCAGCTGCTGTTAATTCCCCATCAGCGGGGACCTGCGAGTCACGGGCCTGATGCCATCCTGTGGGTGAGTGCTGCGTGTGCTACTTAGAGCAAGGAAACAGAGCTGCTGGGAAAAACTAAACTGCTGGCAGCAGGAATTGAGCACAAAAGGGAAAAATACTGTAAAAAAAGAGCTGGAGGACTGGAGCTTTAGTGTTTTAGATTGCTGTTGCTGTTGCTCATCCTTGCTTTGATAAAGAAAAAGCAGTCTGTGATGCCCAGTTCACTGCAGTTATTCTGCGAGCCCTGAAGCTGCAGCACCTGAGGATGGTTTTGTACAGAGGGCGGTGAGGTGGCTGGCTCTTCTAGTCCTGGTGACTTTTGTTTTGCTACAGTCTTTATGGAACAGCAGGACAGGAAAACTTTGCCATCAGTATAAATGGGTGCTCTGCCCTGAGGGCTGTAGTGGAGTGGTGTAAGGAAAGGGGATTCTCATTAGTCCATGGGTAGAATCTGTTTGTCCTGCAGCCCCATGGCCTGGTGGAGCACAGGGCTAGGGCAGGTTACAGGGCGATGGTCTGTACGCCCACTGACCAGCACCAGCTGGCCTTTACTTGGCACTAACAACTGTCACAGATGCCATTCCCCCAAACGTGAGAGTGGAGCAGGCCAATTAAGTCAATATCTGGGCAAGAGGTAACAGAGAAAGCAATGAGTAAGATATCAAAGAAGGAATCAACATCTGCTTTTGTGAAGGCAAATCCTGTCTTGCAGAACTAGATGTTTTGAGGAACTTAGCAAGCTTGCGGACAAGGGAGGACGGTCTCTCCAAAACAGAATTTGACAAGATTTTCTCATGTCAGTCTAAACAAAGCTGAAGCTATGGTACAAGAGAGAAGCTGACGCTTTTCTTGAGTGAATAACTTGCAGAAAATAGGAAACGGAAGGTAGGAATAAAAGTTAGGTTTTTACAGCAAAGGGAAGTTATCAGTGGTGACATGTAAGGGTCTGAGCTGAACCATGTGCTGTTCAGCATATTTCCAAATGACCAAATAGAGCTTGAATAGTGAGGTGAAAAAAATAACCCTCCAGCACGTTGGCTGCCACCACTCAGCTTGGTGTCATTGGCAAATTTGTTGAGGGTGCACTCAATCCCACTTTTTTTTGTCCATGTTGCCAACATGGACAAAGACGTTAAGCAGCACTGGTCCCAATACCAGCCCCTGGGAAATGCCACTCATCACTGGTCTCCACCTGGTCATTGAGCCATTGACCACAACTCTTTGATCGCGACTATCCTTGCTCTCTGCAACTTCCAACATTGGTTGCTCTTCCTTTATCCACCAATGCCATAACCCCATTGTAGAAGGCCACCAAATTTCTCAGGCATGGTTTGCTCTTGTGGAGAAAAATAGCTCAAAATTTACATATAAAACATCTGTGTAACCTCCCTGGAGCAAGACTGTCACCATCAAGTCCATGCAAATGTTTGCTTTATGCATGGTTGTGGTGAATGATGGCAGAAATCATCGTTGTGTCTTTGTATGCTTATGTCTCAGCAGTATTATGGACACTGTGCAGTTTTGGGTCACCTTTTGCCCTCATCTCCAAAACAATGCAACAGAGTTGGAAACATCTCAGAGAGGGACGCCAGAAATGATCAGAAGCGCAGGATAGCTCTGTATGGAGGCCATCTAAACAGGGTTGGATTGTCCAGCTTGGGAAACAGCTGAGGAAGGATACAGAAGTTAGAGGTCTATAAAATAATGAGCAGCTTGGGTGGGGTGAGTATGAATTAGGAGTTGGTCATTGATTTATTATTCTTTACAACAACCATGTGTTAACAAAAATGGGCAGGAAACAGGTTATAAGCAAGCCAAAGGAGATGTTGGTCCTGAGGCTTAGCAGTGGAACTCATTGCTCAGTTTCTTGTGGACTTGACAGACGGCTACGGTAGCTGCACATAGAGGCTTAGGGAGCATGCGAGGGCGGGATGACGATGACAACGACGATGGTGCTGACCTCTGTGCGTAACCTCTCCTTCTACTCTTCCTTTGACAGCCATTTTGACCTCTAGATGGCCTAGTCCAAGCCCTTGCTCACAGCAGAGCTGTCTCAAATGTTAGTTATATCAGGTTGCTCTGAGCCTTTTTCAGGTTAGTCTTGCACATCTTAGGGACTGGAGATTCTTCAGCCTCTCTGGGCACGCGTGGCAATTGCTGAACCACTCCTTGTGTATGTGCCTTTTGTCCTGATACCTGATCAGAACTTCCCTTTATTCAAGTTAAGCCTCTTGCCTCTTTTCCTCTTGCTGTGTCCCACGGAGCAGAATTTGGCTCCATCATCTCTAAAACCTCCACTCTCCTTTTAGGTATTCTTAGACTGCTATTTAAATCCCTTTATTAGCCATCTTTTCTCTAGGTTGAACAAACCTTGCTCTCAGCCACTGAGCTCCTCACTGCCTTAATGGCCCTGTGCTGGATTGTGCCTGTTTTTGGTGTCCTTTTTACAGCAGTCCAGATGTATGTACCTCTTAGTTAGCCACTTTGTTTATCCTCCCTTCTAAACTTGTGCGTTTACTAGCTGTGGCTTTGCTCCACAAAGAATTTACATGATGAGGTTCTACCATCTGTGTTGGACTAAAAGCCAAACAACATCACAGGAGCAGCCTCTTTGCTCAAACCTCTTGACCTGTTAATTATATTATGGAGTCTGTTGCATGCTCTGACCATTCCAGAGGACAACCTGGAAGATACCAAGCAATTGTTTCTCTACTGTGATATTTCCCTACCTTACCAGCTGGAACTTCTCCTTGGTAGTTTTTAATTAGTTACCTTGGTGTCTTTGGTCTAGCTGGCCAAGGGAAGCCAGTAGATGTAATCTTTTTGGATTTCAGCAAACGCCTTTGATACCATCCCTCAGAGTATCCTTCTGGACAAAATGTCCAGAATACAGATAGAAAAATACGTAATACAGTTATATATTAATAGGGTTATAATTAATAGGGTTTCATTAGGTGGGTAGCCAGTTGGTAATGGGGTTCCCCAGGGCTCCATTTTGGAACCAGTTCTCTTCAATGGTCTTATAAATGATCTGTACAGAAGGTTTGAATGAATACAAAGCAGGTTTTCAGGTGACACTAAATTAGGAGGAGCTGTCGACTCCCTTCAGGGTAGAGAGGCAAAGAGATCTGGACAAGTTAGAGGGCTGGGCTATCAACAACAATATGAGATTAAACAACAGCAAGTGTTGGATTCTGCACCCGGGACAGGACAACCCTGGTATATGTGCAGACTGGGGTATTTATTATCCAATATATAATAATAATAATATCCAATCAGATTATATCTAATATAGCAGGAATTCCCTTT